CCAACGTTGCTGCGTCTTACAGGCCCATCGCCCTTGCCCCGGTGCCTTTCAAGATCTATGAACGCTTAGTTGCACGACGCCTCGAATGGTGGGCCGAACGGGAGGGCCTTCTAGACCCCGGACAGTGCGGTTTTCGCAAAGGCATGGGTACCCCCGACGCTGTCGGCCTCTTCCTTACTGATGTCTACTCGTCCTTCGCCAAGGCGCACCATGTTGCCGCTGTCTTCCTCGACGTCGCAAGTGCCTACTACTCCGTTGTCCCAGCCCGGCTCCTCTCTAAGCTCCGGGACGTCGGCGCCCCGCCGCGGCTCCTTAACGCCATCCGCTCCTTCATGTTCAACCAGGTCCTCTGGACGACCCACGGCGGGCGGCTGGTCGGCCCCCGGGTCTGCAGCCTCGGTCTTCTGCAGGGGGCCGTTATGAGCCCCCTGCTTTATATCCTGGAAAAAAGGACCCTCTGCGCTGACTTGCCTCTTCGCGTGCGCCAGTGCCAGTACGCCGACGACGTGGTGCTGTACGCTTCTGGTGCTGATCCCCGCCGCGCTTTGGCCGCCCTACAGGCCGCGCTCAACCTGGTTGCACAGCGCCTTCGCGAGGACGGAGCTGCACTTTCCCCCGGGAAATCGTCATGGATCTTGTTCACCCGCGGCCGCCGGGACACGCCCCTCCCCCCTCTCCGGGTCCGCGGCGAGGCCGTGCCCCGAGTGGTGGAGGTTCGGTACCTGGGCCTCATTCTCACCCCCAGACTTCATTTGGGCGCGCACATCCGCCACGTACAGCAGCGGTGTCATCAAAGGCTTACCTTTCTTCGATCTGTGGCCGGCGTTCGCTGGGGCGTCCACCCCGGCCTCCTTCTCCATCTGTACCGCTCCACCATCCGGCCCGTCCTTGAGTACGGCGCCGGCCTTGGGGATCGTCCAGAAAGTACGTCCATTTTCCTCAGATGCATTTGCCTAATTTCGGGAGCCGGGCGCCTGCAAGACTCAGGGTAGGCCACCCCGCAGTACACGCATGCACTGCAGACCAGATGTTGCCTACCTAACAGGCGCTATGAGTTCTCGCAGAGACTAAACTTGGCAGGTCCGGAACGGCGAATGGCGGACGTACTTTCTGGATAATCCCTTGTTCACTTCCGCACGAACAAGGAATTGAAGGCGGTTAGTCGGATCGTGCACTCTGCACTGCGCTGCTGCCTTGGTCTTATGAGCTCTACGCCTATCACTTCAATGCACGTCGAAGCCGCAGAACTCCCTCTCAGCCTTCGTCTCCACTACCTCGCCGACCGGCTCCTCATTCGCTGGAGAAGCAGGGAGCAACACCCTGCCCTCGCCCGCCTCGACGCCCTGGCTCCGCGGGGGGTCGTTGTCCGCCGCCTCCGCAAGCGCCCGCCCCTGCTCCTGCAGCGCTGG